GCTACCACTTTGTTATATGTACTGCTGCCTCAGTACATATATCTCCTGTGTCCAGATGTGGAACACCAGAACAGAGTAATATATTACACTTTGTCATAGTTTCACTTGGAGTTGAGTATCCCACTCATCCGAATCAGAACAGTATAATGACACAAACTCGAGTTTGTGAGTAAAACGAGTTGTGGCTCTTCACAGACTTAGAGGAGTAGGATGACCTGTATTTAGAAGTGTGAGGACCAGAATGAACTGGAGTTCTGCACCGATGATCGTGTACATGTGTAGAGCGAGAGAGATAGAAAGAGAGAGAGAGACAGAAAGAGGGAGCGAGAGAGAGACAGAAAGAGCGAGAGACAAAGAGTCTTAGAGAGACTGTACTTAATTTTCAGGAGACGCAGGGTCGAGCACACGCGTAGACCATCAGCCTCGTTTTTTAAAGCATTTCAGACGATCGTTGTAGGACAGCAACAAGGTAATGTGAATTTCCAAGATAAGCGAAGTTCGGATGTATCCGAGATCACAAGAGATAGACAGACAGAGGAAGTCTGCAAGAAATGGTCGTGTACATTTGAAGAGCGAGAGATATAGAAAGAGAGAGAGAGAGACAGAAAGAGCGAGAGACAGAGTGTCTCAGAGAGACTGTACTTAATTTTCTCGGACGCCGCACGGACGACGCAGGGTCGAGCACACGCGGAGATCATCAGCCTCGCTTTTAAAAATATTTCAGACGATCGTTGCAAAAGAGCAGCAAGGCAATGTGATTTTCCCAGATAAGCGAAGTCCGGATATATCCGAGATCATAGGAGATTGACAGAGAGGAAGCCCGCAAGAAATAACATTTTAGCACGCCAGAGGGCTGAGAGATGGAAAAGACAAGCACCGTATGGTCACCCACACCATTTTGTGTTACGAACGTATCCGAAGTGTCGAACTAGTATAGACCCTTCAGTTTGAAGCTTCCCCTGTGCTTTTTGGGACACAGTTCAAGAAGTATCTTTTGCGAAACTGAGAGAGAGAGAGAGAGAGAGAGAGAGAGAGAGAGAGAGAGAGAGAGAAACATTGTACCATCATCCACCACATTTCTGATCCATCCGGAATGTCTCGGCTGTGAGTCGCTTCGCTACGATCTAGACAGAGCTGACAAAGATAGAAAGAGCGCATCAGAGGGATGGAGAGGGAGACAGAGACAGAGACAGGGATATAGAGAGAGACACAGAGAGAGACAGAGAGAGTGTGGATGATCACACTTAATTTTCTTTTCATGTCGACGTGGCACAGGAGACGCATGTTCGAGGAACACGCGGAAACAACAAGTGTAGCTGTACAAGAGTTGCAAGGTTTTCGTTAGGCGAGAGTAAGCCAAGTTCGGATGCATCCGAGATGACAGGGGAAAGGGAGTCCGAAGCAAACAGCAAATGAGCGCACTAGACACAGTTGTGGGTGTGGGTGTGCGAGAAAAGAGAGAGACAGAGAGAGAAAGAGAGAGAG